GGGGTTCCGCCTCGCAGCCCAGCTCCCTCTGGATTAGCCTGGGTCCCTGGGGTCTAGCCTAGAACTGGGGTTCAGAGCAGTCGGAACAGGGGCCCAACACAGTCGGAGTTTTATCTCCTTCCCGCTGGGGAATGCCAGCCAGGCACTCAGCCACCTTCCTCTCAGGCTCCGTCCTCTCCGCGCGCCACGTGTCTCCGTACCTCAGGCTTTTCCAGCTCCTCCGCGCTTCCTTCTGGTTTTCTCCTTGCTTCTCCTTGTAGAATTTCCAGTCAGTCGACTTTCCTGTAGTTCTGGGTAATGTCCATTTTATATTTTAGTTGTATTTTATTGAAATTGTTGTGTGCAGCTGCAGCTAGGTGTTTACCTGGGCGCAGCTATTTTGGATTCCAGACCCACATCTTCCATGTTCATGATCTGTACAAAGGAGAATTCTGTTTTCTAAAGAAGAATGATGTACTTTGATACATTATTTTAACTTCATGGGTAAGTAATATTTTGACATAATAAAATTGAATTGTGCCATCAAATTTGTTTGTATTCTTTACTAGTTTTAATTCGTAATTACTGATTTCTAGGAAATCTGAATTATAAGTGGAATTCTATTTTAGTGAGCTTGGTAAAATAAAAATAATTTAAAGTATTTAGCTTCAATTAATATTCATATATATTGTATGCTACATCAAATAACATCAGGATATAGAGAAATTCATACACTCACATCTCATTTACAAATCTTTCCTAGTTTATTAATGACCTACTGCCCTGCCGCCATTATGGTTGTTTTTTTTTTTTGTCAGAGATAAAAATACTCTTAAAAAAAAGTTTTATTGATTTTAGAAACATTAATGAGATAAAAGTATTGTTGGTTCAATACAACTAATCAATAAGCACATGAAAAGCTGTTGAGCACATTATTTTTTAGGGAAGTGCAAATCAAAACCACAGTGATATACTACTTCACACCTATTAGGATGGCTATTATAAAACAGAAAAACAAGTAACCAAAAAAAAGAGAGTAAGTGTTGGCAAGGATGTAGAGAAATTGGAAAGCTTGGTGGGAATGTAAAATAGTGCAGCTGCTATGGAAAACCATATGGCAATTACTCAACAAATTAAAAATAGAATAATGATATGATTGAGCAATTCCACTTCTGGGTGTATACCTAAAAGAATTGAAAGCAGGGACACCAATTTATATTTGTATGCTGATGTTCATGGCATCATTATTCACAATTGTCAAAAAGGTGAAAGTAATTCAAATGTTCATTGGTAGATGAACAAATAAGCAAAATGCAGTATATATATATATATATATATATATATATATATATATATATATATACACAATGGAATGCTGTTATGCTGTTCAGCCTTAAAAAGGAAGGGAATTCTGGTACATGCTTAAACATAGATGAACCTTGAAGTTATGCTAAATGAAATAACCTAGTCATTAAAGAACAAATCTGCATGTATTATTACACTGATATATAAATATAAATATAAATATAAATATAAATATAAATATAAATATAAATATAAATATAAATATAAATATAAATATAAATATAAATATAAATATAAATATAAATATATATTTGTGTGTGTGTGTGTGTGTTACCTGGAATAGTCAGATTCATAAGACAGAAAATAGATAGTGGTTGCCAGAAGCTGGAGAGGCAGGAATGGGAATTATTATTTAACGGATATAGAGTTTTAGTTTAGAAAGGTGAAAAAATGTTTTGGAGATGAATGGTTGTGATGCTTGCACAACAGTCAGAATGTACTTAATGCCACTGCACTGGAAAATAAAAAAACATTCAAAGGGACCCAGAGGAGAAGTCAGATAGCTGGAAGGACTAATTAATGGGCTAAACTTGATCCAAATTAGCTGAAATATGCATCACTCTGCAAATTCACCTCATCAGAGCTTTCCTTCCAATCAAGATTATTATAGGGGTGAAGTTCCCAGATTAGATATGGAAGGCAGATTAGATAGTATATAAACAAACAAAAATTAAATAACAATAGGGGAAATAGTAAATAAATTATGTTTCAATTTACAAAGAAGTATTAAGCAACCACTCATGCTATTGTTTAGTGCTTAATAACATAGACTGTAACGCTAGACTTAAAATGATATTGAAATCTATGATAATCCCAATATATAAAAATCCAAGGTCTGTAAGATTATAACGACCTAAGGCTTCACCTGACGCCAGGCTGAGCAAGCAGCATGCTGAGCAGGTTGAACTGCTGACCTCTAAGAGAGAGAGAGAGAGAGAGAGAGAGAGAGAGAGAGAGAGAGAGAGAGAGAGAAAGGCAGAGATTTGCAGCGGTGGGGACTTATGTGAGGCTGCCTCATGGTACCCCGCATCCCTCCCTGACCGACCACTGTGACTCCAAGCCAGCAGGGCTGCCTCCAGGCTACAGAACCAGGTCTCTCACCCCGCCCCAGGCCAGAGAGGCAGAGGCACCTGAGGGTCTGGGAACGCAGCTCTAGGGGCCAGTATGGTGTGTGTGTGTGTGTGTGTGTGTGTGTGTGTGTGTGTGTGTGTGTGTGTATGTGTGTGTGGCTATGTTGACACCGCCAAGTTCCTGCCTCCACCCTGTCCATGCATCCCTCCTCCCTCCCCTCAGAGGCTTGGCTCCTGCCTACGTGCTTGCCAGGCAGGCCTAACTGCACCGGGGAGTGAGCCATGGCAATCAGATGGCCACATCCTGGGATGGGACGGCCAGCTGGCCCATGGAGATTGACATGGGCGAGGAGGCCCACAGGGCAGGCACACCCCTAGGGCGGTGGGGGCAGCCAGCCAAGGTGGGGCCAGCACGAGGCCATCCTGGCTCCACAGGTCCCGGACTGGACTGTGGCTCAGCGGCGAGCTGCTGCCACCCAGCTCCACGCTGCAGGGAGGGGGCAAAGGTCAGGGACACCGCCTGCAGCCTGCAGGGCTGGCAGGGTCCAGAGTGTCGCAGGGCAAGCTGCTCCCCCCCCAGTGGTGGATCAGGGAGGAGGTACTGGGTCCAGGGAGGGGACCTCACTTGGGGAAGGGGCCCGGCCTGGGCCCGGTGGGGGGCTTAGGAAGCTGGCTGAGCAGGCGCTGGTTCCTACCTACTGTTACTCTGCCATGTTCCTCCCACTCTCCAAGCCAACCCCCTGCCCCACCTGCCCTGGGGAATGCGCCCCGGGCGACCTCCCTGAGCGCTGACTGTGGGCCCAGAGACTCCAGGAGGAGTGCCCGGCAGGGCCCTGGCTAGGGCCGGTGCAGAACTGCCAGGGCAGAGCTGCTTCGGTGTCCCGGTGAACTTTGCAACCGACCCAAGGAGGAAACCGAGAGGGGAGAGGCCGGGAGCTGTGGCTTCCCAGCGCTTTAGTCACTTGCAAACAGCCCTGTTTAGAATATGAGGCGACTGTACATTCAGCTGAGAAGTGAGGCTGAACCCCACTGTCGCTGGGTTCGTGTCAGTTCACTGCCCAAGAGTTCACCCTGAGAAGGAAAAACCGGAGGGAGGGGCCTAGAGGAAGGAAGAACAATGGGAGGAAATGTGTATGGACTTTCCCCAGCCCTCTTCCTCTTTCTGCTGCCTACAAAAGCCCCAGGCTGGCCACAGTTCTGTGTCCACCTTTTTAAAAAATATATATACTTTATTGATTTTTTAGAGGAAGAGAGAGGGATAGAGAGTTAGAAACATCAATGAGAGAGAATCATCGACCAGCTGCCTCCTGCACACCCCCTACTGGGGATATATCGGCAACCAAGGCACATGCCCTTGACCGGAATCGAACCCGGGACCTTCCAGTCCGCAGGCTGACACTCTATCCACTGAGCCAAACCGGTTTCGGCTGTCTCCACCTTTTAGTCCCCTGTTCTCCAATCACAGAGGGAAGAAATAAGAAAGGAGTCTGTGCTGCCTCCAGAAAGAATCTATATGCCAGATCAGCTGGTTTCCCACAGAGGGAGGCCAGACTGCGGCTTAGGCCCACTCCTCACAGGATGTCAGTAGGACATCCCATGAGGGCTCTTAGACTGTGAGGGGGGCAGGCCTGGCTGAGGGACACTCTCTGCCCCCTAGTGCACGAATTATCATGCACTGGGCCTCTGGTAAAAGCATAATATGCTAATTAGACTGGACATCCTTCCAGACAAAGCAGCAGCGGACTGCCCCCTGGTGGTCAGTGCACTACCACAGTGGGAGTGCCACTTGGCTGACCAGGATGAACAGATGCTCCTGCTGCGAACCTCTGGCCGATGCGCAGGAACCTGGGCTGTGATCATCGCCTCTTCACCCCAGGCTCCTCCTCCTAGCTCCCTGCAGCCTCATCCAGACACGTGGACACTCTCAGGCCATGCAGCGCTGCTGCCCACTGGGCTTGCAGAGCTGATCCCAGAGGCTGGGAGGCAGGTTCCTACTCTGCCGCCTCTCAGTGCTATTGTCCCTGGGCCCGTGAGTGCTCTGGCTCCATGGAAGATGCCAGACCAGGGAGCAGCCACTCAATAGATAGGAATGAGCAGCACTCTCATCTCAGGTGATCCCCTCAGGCCACGCCCCCCACCAGTCCACGAATCCCCGTGCACGGGCCTCTAGTATATACATATGTATGGAAGACAAAACATACATATGTGTGGCTGGTCAAGGACTCTTGAGTTCTTCTTCAGCCCTTTGTTCTTTCCTGTCTGTATACAAGGTCAGAAGGGCAGCTGAAACCACACTATGAGAGTGATTCAATATTAGAGACAGAAATATAAATAATTTCTACTAGATAGCCACACCAGAGGATTAGAAAGAGCCATGGACAAGATCCCTGGTCACCTTTCTAGAGTGGAACAAGAGAAAAAAAGGTTTCCCTGCCTTCAACACAAAATGGTTGCATGGAAAATCCATAGTTGGGGCAATACACTCAAATAATCAGAGAAGACTTTCTTTTTTTTTTTTTTTTTGAAATTCAGCTTCCATTTATTTTCCCCAGAGAACTTTTCTTCACTCTTTAAAGACTTAGCTCCTTACATGGGCTTTGGTGGAGGTCGTGGGGCAGCACCCGCAGGCCTAAATCGGGGCGGGGGTGTTCGGTCCTTCCGGGCTTCACGAGACCGATTCCTGACTACCTTGCTGTGAATGGCGCAGCTCACACAGTAGTGCAGCTTCACATACAGCTTGGGAAGCACATAGGCGTCGAAGACACTGGCTTCGGAGATGTCCCTGACGGCCGCGGCCTCCACTATGTTTCGAATGACAAACTTCTTAATGGCCTTGTCCTTGGGCACGCACCGGGCGCAGTTGGTGCAACGAATAGGCTGCACATGGCCTCGGCCTTTTTTGGCGCGACCGTTATTCCTTCTTTTCTTGGTCATCTTGGAAACGAGGACCCGAGAGAGCCAGAGAAGACTTTCTTGAGGAAGTGGGACTAAGGTTAAGATCTGAGTGATACAGAGGGGTTAACATGGCAGAAAAATGGGGGGATAGTAGGACTTTCCAGAGAGAAGAAACACTTTGGGTCCAGTGCCAAGAACAAGAGAAACAGGATACTTTCAAGGAACTAAACGGAGAGCATGCAGTGTGATGAAGCAAAAAATATAAGCAGGGCCAAGCCAGTGGCCTTTTAGATAATCTTTTCTAGGTCATCTTAAATTTTGGAGTTGTTGTTTTTCCCCCCTCTCTAATAACAGGGAAAACCACTGAATGGTTTTAGTGTCTTCGGTGGGGGCACTGGGAGTGGCATGATGACATTTGCTTGATGCAGGAACCACTCTGCCTGCAATAGGGAGATAATAGATTTGGGGGTTCAGAGTGGAAAGGGTACCAGTTAGAAGGTACAGGTGATACACTTCATATGGGTGGTAGAAAAGGAGAGGGAGGTAGAAAAGATAACACCTTGGTTTTTAGCTTGCACGGCATGGTGAATGTTGGGGTCATTACTGACATAGGGAACATAAGATAGCTTGGAATGTGGTGATTTTATGATTCACAAACTCAGTTTGAGATAAGTTCATTTTTAGGTGCCTTTGGACGGTACATAGTTTTTATTTCACTTTAGGACTCAGAGGAGATATCATGTTTAGGCTTATCTGGGGAGGGGTAGTAAAAGAATTGGGACTTTATGCTAAGCAAACTAAGTCAGTCAAAGAAAGCCAAGAACCATATGCTTTCACTCGTATGTGGGATATAAAACTGAAACTAATAGACATAGACAATAGTATGGAGGTAACCAGAGGGAAGGAGATTGAGGGTAGTAAAGGGTAAAGGAGGCGGAATATATGATGACGGAAGAGGATTTGACTTTGGGTACTGGTCATACAATGCAATATATAGATCATGTATTGTAGAAAAGTACACTTGAAACCAATGTGATCCCATTAACCAATGCCACCTCCATAAATGTACTTAAAATCATAAAGAGAAATTTTAAAAATATTTCAAAACATAAATGAAATCCCCTAATGAGAAATTATAGGGTGAAGAAAAGAGAACTTGGCACTGTTTTAAGGAACTCTAACAACTAAAGGCTGGATAGAGAAAAAAAGAAGAGCTTTTACTAGCAAAAGAGAAAGATTAATAAGAGAAATAGGAAAATTTAAAAAACCACACAGAACAGTGCTGTGTCACAAAAGCTAAGAGAAGAAAGAGCATTTCAGAAAAGAAGTCAGAGATCACAGTGTTCAATATTGCTGAGAAGTGAAGAGAGATGAACTCTGACAAGAATTTAGCAACATGAGAGTCATGGGTAACTTGAACAAGAGTTCTGTAGGTCAAGGGTTGGAGACGTAAGATTAGAACGGGCTGAAATTTCAGTATATTTGCAATAAGAGGAAAGAGACAAAGAGAGGAAAAGGGTGTAGATTTTACAAGAGAGCAGAATTTTTTGTTCATTTTCTAATTGGAGAGGCGTGAGTATACTTATTATACAAGCAGATGGGAAGGATCCAGTTGAGAGAGACTTTCAGGTGTGAAAGAGCAGGCATATTAATGTGAGTGTTCTGAAAAGTAAGAGAGAATGGGTTGGTTCCTAGCAAAGGGAAAACACTTGGCCTCAGAAAGGCAATAGGACACTTCCAGTGCAGTGAAAGGGAGAGAGGACAGCATAGGAGACCACAGAGGGTAACCAGTTTATGATTGGGAAGCTGAGAGAATTTGTGTCTTTTAGCTTCTATTTTCCAAAAGTAACAGGCTAAGTTTTGTGTTGATTATGAAGAGGAAGGCAGTAATAATGGTTAGACGTTTGAAAAATGAGAAATTCATTAAAAGTGGTTGCTGAGAATGACAGAGAGGACATTGACCAGGGAAATGTAATAACATTTTAAATCATTTTTATACATTTGTATTGATTTCAGAGAGGGAGAGAGAGATAGAAACATCAATGATGATAGAGAATCATTGATCAGCTGCCTCCATTCGAGATTGAGCTGGTATTTCAGGCATGTGCCCTGACTAGGAATTGAACCGTGACTTCCTGGTTCATAGGTCGATGCTCAACTACTGAGCAACACCAGCTTGGCTTAATAAGATTTTAAACAATGTTGAAGGCTCACTTGAAATTAATGATTATAAATTTAGGGAGGAACCAGTCTATGCTCAGTTGGGGGTTCTCTAAAAACTCTAGGCTGCCTGTATGTTAGCAAAGAAGAGGGGTTTCTAAGTTCATTCAGGGTTGGCATTTGGATGAAAAGAAAAGATAAAGGACCAGGGAGTTGAAGATATTGGTGTGCTATTAAAATAATAAAGTGTAGCCAGCACCAGCATGTTAGGCCAGACAACTCTGAAGATGCCTGATTTCCTAAGCTAAAATAATAAAGCATAAAATTTAAGCTGCAAAAGCAGAAAAATGAAAAAGCATGGTAGATTAGAAGAAAGAGGTCAATGTAGGAGAAATACCAAATTAACCCTCAAAAGTTAGAGGACATGTATGTCAAAATTTAATAGAGGAATTGAAATTGAAATCTAAAATGATGTATTAAAAGATACATATATAAAAGTTGATGGAATAGGTGAAACAAAATTGGCAAAATATTGGTAACAGTTGAAGCTGGAAGAGGAATGCATAGGATTCATCTTATCCATTACATTGGATAAGAAGTTAGAAAAAACAGAGACAGTAGAAGGAACAAAAGAAAATTTCCAAAGAAATTATAGTTAACTAGAGGCCCAGTGCATGAAATTCATACATGGGTAGGGTCCCTAGGCCTGGCCAATGATCAGGGCCAATTTGTGGTGTGACCAATGGGCCGATTGTTTCCTCCTCTCTGCCCTCCACCCCACTTCCACTGGCACCTGCTGTGGCTGGCTTGGGGCCTGTGGGCTGGGAGCAGCTCCTGCATTGAGCATCTGCCCCCTGGTGGTCAGTATGTATCATAATCTCCAGTCATTCCACTGGTCATTCTGCTGTTCCATCAAGTTGCATATTAGGCTTTTATTATATAAGATATATCCAAATCACTATGAGATGACATTCCTTCATGAAATAAGAATGGGAACCAGAAAAAAACAAAAAACAAAACAAAAAAACTCCACAAAAAACAAAGGCTCTGTTAGGAGTCCAATATATGAATTACAGGATTTTCAAAGAGAAGAATAGAGAAAGTAAAGAAGGAGGTAAACAACAAAGAAGTAAATCAGTAAGATTTATGCATATAAATTAAAAAGTCAAAAAAGATCATGAAATGCAGGAATGAAGATCCCCACCAATACACATCTTGGGAAATTTTGATATACTGGAAACAAGGAGATCCATTGGTCTCACCATCTTTTTCTCAGTCCCTTACCTTCATTGTGCCCTCTCTTCTCTCAGCTTAAACTCATGGGTCAATGATTCTAATTAATTCCTTGGATGGAACCTCCACACCTTTTTCCCTCTTATGCATTCTCATCTGTTCTGAGCAAAATAATAACCTTGGTTAAATTAAATTTTCCTTTCACTCCATTTCTGCAGCAGTGCGGCTGAAAATAAAAATGGGAAAACAAACAGTTATGCTCACCGGTGTCATTTTATATTCATGATCATTAACCTCAAGTGGGTTCTTACTGCTGCCAAGCAATCAGATGATATTACCTTCATGCTTTCACCTTCCCGCTTTCCTAGATAACTACTTCATTCTTGCATATCTCTGTCCTCCATCCTCCAACATCTCCTCCCCCACCCATTCTCAGCTGTTGCCCTTGCTTTCTAGATGGCTGTAGAAAGTGAAAGAAGTTCCCCATGCCTGACCCTCCACACCAACCCAACATCCTGCATCTACGCCCAAGTGTTCTGCATTGTCTCCTGTACCTGGGGATGAACTAGCCAAGCTCCCCCTAAGATCATGCCTTCTGCTTGAGTACTAGATCCAAACCCTCTCAGAATGTTCCAGCCATTCTCTATATTCTACCACACTTTCAAGTTCTCCTGTTAGGCTGTAATATTCCCAGCTGCGCACAACCTGCTGCTATTTCTCACACATTCAAAAAGAAAGTCTTTGGATCCCACACCCTCTTCTAGATACCACCACAGTGGTCTTCTTTTTGTTATAATAAAACTTTGAAAATTTTTTCTGTACCCACTGTCTCCAAATTATGTTTTCCCATGCTCTCTTGAACCAAACAGATTCGCCCTCAACATGCCACCAGGATCATTAATTTATAATTGACTCCAAGTTGTTAAATACAATCTTTGAATCTCATCTTATATGTCCCATGGAAATATCTACTACAACTGCTCATTCTTCTTCTTTGGTATATATTTTTGTTACTTGTCTTTTAGAATATCACCCTTTTCTGGTGTAATTCTACTTACTGACCACTTATGAGTATCTTTTTTCTCAGGACTCCGATCTCTAAATGTTGGAGGGCTTCAAATCTCAAGGGCCTTGGATCTCTTTTCTTTTTTAGGTATACTTATTTCCTTGGTTATTTCAACTGGCATCCTGACTATTGCTTACCACTTCCAAATATGTATCTCCAGCCCCAAACTTCCTATCAGTCTATTCAAGTCCTTTCTTCAGTTATCTGCCTGAATTTCTAATTAGTTTCTCTAATTTAACACATCTAAAATTATGCTCTTACTCTTCCTCTCAAAAGTGTTCTGCTTCTGATATTTCCTATATCTGTTAATGGCAAATCCATACTTTTCACGTGCATAGGACAAGACATGTTCACCTGGTACATAAACATAGTCTAGAAGCTATATCTCCCAGAGATCCAGATTCAGTTATAGCTCACCACTTCCATACCATCACTCTGGTCAGTCCAAGTCACCAATAACTCTTGTTGCCATAATCTCTTGCTTAGATTATTAAAATAGCTTCCTAAATAGCCTCTGCCTCTGTCCTTGTCTCCCTTCAGTCTATCTCTAAATAGCAGTCAAAATGATAATATTACAATT